AAAACTGGGGGAAAAAGGTGTAAAAATGGGCGGTTACGCCCCTTTTTCCCCCAGTTTTTAAATATTCAAAAATCTGTATCTCGTTCACCGTTCCCCAGTTTTTCGTCAAACAACTTTTTTCTGTCTTAAAAAAATCAGTTCTACAACATATCAAAACATTTTTTTTCCTCTGGAGCCTGACTTTAACATTAGAAGACGATCTAACAAACTCACGGAATTGATGCAAAACAAAGGTTTTAGTCTGTCGGCGTCCATTCTTACAAATCCAGAGGTCTTTGTCTTCTGCTGCGTTAATATGAAGTTGATCATTCATGGGAAAGTAGGGTGAACTCTTGTCATTTGGCCAAGATGTATTATAACGAAATGTGTATGCGGCAACAGCGTTAGTGGAATTATTGTAATACCAGTATACAACGTGTTCTCCGACCAAATCTACATTACACGTGATTACAACGGGTTGTAATGGACAAAAATAAACCACTTCATTTCCTTGTATGACTAAACAGAAATCTGGAGCATAAAAGAAATGAAATATTGTTAAAGCTAAACTTCGCTTTTTGATGCTTTTGTAGATCGATTCACCAGTCTACAACTGAATTTTTTAAACATAAATATAAGTGTGACGTCTCATGTACTCTCGAACACACTTGGGAGACTTAACTCAAAATAAGAGACAACTCTCCTGTGTCATTTCCAACAATACTAACAGCCTGTTTATTGAGTTTCAACGTACAACATCCCAGCAAACACCCGTTCTTATAACGTTCGCGTACGTTGCGGTTAGGTATGTTAATAATAACGTTCACACGACGTTGTAAAAACGTTCAAACGTTGTGACGTTGTAATATTAGGTTATAAGTACTTACATGGTTCTCAAAATAACGTTTTTATCACCAAATTGTAACGCTATTATAACGTTCTTAGAACGTAATATTGTTAGCTGAGTATATAACTTTGTAAACACTTGAATGTTTACAAAATGTGTGCAGAACCATGGAGATCCATTAGTAACCTTTGGTACCGGTTAAATCCCATCAGCTTCTCTTGTGTTGTAATGTATTTTTTTTTAGAAGATACCAATCATCATAATATGATTTCTGATGAAAAAAAAAGTTATGACCTTTTCCACATAATTTAACCGCTGAAGGTTCATTTTGCACATGCCCCTCAAATTCGTTTTTTGGCCCTAGTTGTCACATTTTTCAACTGATATTCTTTAAAAAGGTGCCAAAATGCTCAGGATAATAAACCACTTAGTGTTAGACCTGTACATTTGATATTTTTTGGGTATTTTTTTACCCTGTTTAGCCCACTACTATTCTTAAGTGTATTGTCTTTTTATGTATTTATGTTGTTGTTGAAAAAGCTAGCTTTTAAAAAGGAATGTTTAGTTTTGAGCCACTGCTGTGAATCAGAAATTCATTGGAAATCTGCTTATTGAAATTGGGAACATAAAGAAAGGTCAAGTAATATCCTTCGTTACGTAAAGGATGGACATTACATAGAGCCTACCTAAACCTAAAGTCAACTAAGGTGTAAATGTTATGTTTAATTTACAGTATGCTGTTCAGATTTTTTGTTCAAAACAGGTCAAATGTATACAAGCTTAAAAAGCAAACACAATTTTCTTTGAAATAAATAAATGGTTGTCCCATGTTGTCTTTTGGAGACCACGTATAGCTTTACAGGTGTCTATGGCAAGCCCCAGCTCTCTTAAGCCTACAACAAATACTATATTATTTATGTTTGCTGTTATATTATTTACGTTTGTTATTATATTATTTACGTTTATTATTATACCATTTAAGTTTATTATTATATTATATATGTTCATTATTATATTATTTATACCTATTATTATATTAAGTACGTTTATTATTATATTGTATACTTTTGTTTATTATTATATTATATGTGTTTATTATTATATTATACACGTTTATTATTATATTATGTATGTTTAGTATTATACTAAATATGTTTATTGTTATATTATTTACATTTAGTATTATATTATGTACATTATTATTATATTACGTACGTTTATTTTATTATTTACATTTAGTAATTATATCATGTACGTTATTATTATATTATATATGTTTAACATTATATTATTTACATCTATGCACGTTTATTATTATATTATACATGTTTATTATTATATTACAGATGTTTATTATTACATGATTTACGTTTATTATTATATTATATACGTTTAGTATATGTTATGTGCGTTTATGAGGATATTCTGTACGTTTATTATTATATTTCATACGTTTATTTTATTATTTATATATAGTAACACTAATGACATTATTATTATATTATGTACTTTTAATATGATGTTATTTACGTTTGTTGTTATATTATATAGGTAAAGTAGGCCTATTATATTATACACGTTTGTTATTATGTTATGTATGTTTAGTACTGTATTATTTACGTTTATTATTATATTATGTATGTTTAGTATTATATTATTACGTCTATTATTATATTATGTATGTTGTTATTATATGTCGTTCATTTATTATTATATTATAAAAGTTTAGTATTATATTATCAATACTAACTATTATTATGTACATTCATTATTATTTTGTTTAATTCACTATTATTATCTCCTTCCTTATTATGTTATACACATTCACTATTATTTCATTGCAGTTCATTTGTATGGAAGTTGAGTAGTATATTATGGCAGTTGAGTAGTATGGCTGTTCATTATGTTGTTATATCAACATTTTATATTTCCCGTACAGAGGATTGTGGGATGGCTGTTAGTAGTGCAATTCTTGACCCTAGGTCAGACCACAGATAATCGTAATCTAGCTAGGCAGTAAAACCACAAGTTTGCACTGGCAGCCTCTTGTTTTGATTGAAACACAAATGACTGTGGGCTTGTGTGGTAGAGTGACTTTTTCTGTCATAGGGTAGGCCTACATGTGTCAACCTCTTAATTTTTCAACTTTTGCAGTGTAGGGCACTTGTTGACCCTACCAAAGAGAAACACAAGTGCGGTGATTTTATGCTGTGCGACGAAATACCACCGTTTGCCGCACTTAGTCTAAACCAAAGGTCTTTGGTGTAGGTCTAGGGCCTAAACAACTTTCGCAGGCAGAAGTCTGGTTTGTGTGTATACTGTAGTTAAAATCTGTTTCGTATTCTCGAAACCTTGAAAAATATTCTCGATTAAGTTGTTCGTCGCACAGCATAAAATCACCGCACTTGTGTTTCTCTAATATTGGTAGGATCAACAAGTGCCCTACACTGCCATAATTGGAAAAAAAAAAAGAGGTATAAACATGTACCCTACAGCAGAAGTCACTCTACCACAGGCCTACAATCCTCTGTGTTTCAGTCAAAACAAGAGGCTACCAGTGCAAGCTTGTGGTTTTATTGCCTCGCTAGATAAAATTATCTGTGGTCTGACCCAGGGTTGCCAGATAGTCGACAGGCTTCACGGCCAAACACACGCCATCTCACGGCCAAATTCGGCCAAACTTTTTTTCGATATTGGCCAAAATTCTATTAAATATTAATGTACATTGTAGTCGATCTATAGCAAAAATTTTAAGGGCCTGTTATTGGCAAATCCGTGGCTCTCTTTAATTAGAATGAATTAAGTTACATAGTTAGGTAACACAAACTGACGTTAAAACAAACCTATGAAAACTTTAATAAAATACTTTTTATCTAAACTTTCGAAATTCGCTTTCGAAAGAAATTCAAAAGAGATAGAACCCCCACTAGTAAGATGGACACACAATACCATGGAGGAAATAAAACAAACAGTTTTATTCCTCCATGACAATACACACAATATGGTACAAACTTGCAATGAACTGTCTTCATAAAGCTTAAACGAGGATAAACCTTATAAACAATATATTTCATCCGAACAATTTAAATTATTACATGTAACTGTTATCTTTTAAATAAACTCTCTTACGTCAAATCGGCTGAATCGGGGAACATAGATTAAGTGTTTAGTGCAAGTATAAACAAAGGTACAGGATTAGAATCAAATATAGAATTTAAGCTAACAAAAACAAAATATCCAAAACAAGTCTACGTTATATTAAACCTATATTGAAAAAAATGTAAACTTTTCAAAAATTCGGCCAAATATAGTTTGGCCGTGACTTTCCAAATGCTACGGCCAGGCACATATTTATACGGGCAGATTTGAGGAATCTGGCCGTCAAAAGGCCAAATGGCAATCCTGGTCTGACCTAGGATCAAGAATTGCACTACTAACAGCCAGCCCACAATTCTCTGTACAGGAAATATAAAAAGTTGATATAACCATGGAGGAATTCCTCCATGATAAAACAACATAATGATCAGCCATAATATACCACTCAACTTTCGTATACTCTCAACTGCAATATACAAGTGAACTGCAATAAAATAATAGTGAATATGTATAATATAATAAGGAAGGAGATAATATGATAGTGAATTAAACAAAATAATAATGAATGTATATAATTATAATACTGAGCATTGATAATATAATACTAAACTTATAATAAGTTATAATATAATAATAAATGAACGACATATAATAACAACATACATAATATAATAATAGACGTAATAATATAATACTAAACATACATAATATAATAACAAACGTAAATAATACAATACAAACATACATGATATAATAACAAACGTGTATAATATAATACTTAACCTATATAATATAACAACAAACGTAAATAATATCATACTAAATGTACAATATAATAATAACGTCAATAAATAATACAGTAAACGTATGTAATGTAATAATAATAAACGTACGTAATATACTAATAAACGCACATAATATATACTGAACGTACATAATATAATAATAAACGTATATAATAAAATAATAAACTCACATCATGTAATACAAAACGTCTGTAATTCAATAATAAACATGTATAATATAACAATAAACGTACATAATATACTAATAGGCGTAAATAATATAATGGTAAACATATATATTATAATAATAACGTACATAATATAATAATAACGTACATAGGCCTAATATAATAAAAGACATAAATAATATACGGTAACATGAAACGTACATAATATAACAACAAACGTAAATAGTATAATACTAAACATATGTAATATAGTAACAAACGTATACAATATCATAATAAACATACGTAATATAATAATAACGTACATAATATAATACTAAATGTAAATAATAATAATGAAGATATATAATATAAAACTAAACGTACATAATATAATAATAAACGTGTATAATATAATAATAAACACATAATATAATAATAAACATATATAATATAATAATAAACGACATAATATAATAGGCATAAATAATATAATAACGAACATATATAATATAATAATAAACTTAAATGATATAATAATAAACGTAAATAATATAACAACAAACGTAAATAATATAATAGCAAACATAAATAATATAATATTTGTTGTAGGCTTAAGACAGCTGGGGCTTGCCA